TATGATCCTACTAATATATTAAACGTGACAGTTTGTATCTTTTTTACTCAATTACGCAAAAACTATTAAACGGATTTGGATGAAATTGGTTATGCATATTGTTTGGGACTAGGATTGAGACATAAGACACTTTTTATCTCGGATGAAAAACAGGTTTCTTGGTGTTTTAGAAAAAAAAGTTAACTCTACGTGCCCGCGTAATAAGTAGATAAATTCGGTTGTAAATTCAAAATTTATCAAAATAAATAAAAGATCTCAATTTAAGCAGCTTTGCAATTAAATTATTGAGATAAAAAAGGATTTTTCCATTTATGTATAAATTAAATTAGGAACATGTGAAACAAAATTTAAAGTCGCACGTATTGCGGTCCTTCCATCACAGAACTTATGTCAATCTTCGAGTCTTATTAAGTTGTTTGATTAAGAGCAATCAGTGACACTCGCGTAAAGGCATGGAATGAAATATTCCAGTTGCCAGCAAATGAATGCATTTGCAAGGAGAAACAATGACAAATCCGTGCGAACTGGAGCACCCGTCTCGAGAAGTCCACCTTATAGAAGATAAATAAATAAATATTTCCAACACTCACACCAATTAGCCTAGCCCCAAGGTAAGCACTGTAAGGCTTGTGTTATGGGATACTAGGGTAACGGATAGAATACATATACAGTACATTTATAAGTATATTAATATAGAAATACATATTAAACTAAATCAAATGCTCGTGTTCATCACACAAACATCTGCTCCCACCGGGATTCGAACCCGGGACCTCTCGAGTCGGCGTCACCATGAAACCACGCCGCCACGCCACAAACCACTCGGCCACGGAGGTCGTCAAATAGAGATCAGACTATAATAAATAACACTACCTTTTGTGGTGTTGTGTTTCAGTTGGTTAGTAAGGTTCAAGGTCTCCAAGGGGTAGGGTATTGAGTTAGGGTAGACATCGGTGCTAGTGATATTTTTGGTATCGCAAGCGTTTATATAGGCTATTGTGGCCGCTTACGATTAGACGATCCAGATGCTTGTTAACAATCATTTAACGTTTAAAAAAATCATTACATTACTAAGTATTACCAATTTATTAGCATAAAAATTAAAAGCAACTCATCGCTTAAAATGGGTTAATTAATTGCTGCCACAATTGGTCATTGATCAGTCAAACTGTGAAAGTTATGTGTGAAACAGCACTATATACATACAGCAACAACAACCATGTTTATTGTAGAAATTCTCCATCTGATTCCTTTAATTACTTAGTCCTTGGATACCGTTGTATTTGCTTTAGTTGGTACAAGAGTACCATCGATTGCAAATTTAAAAAAAACATTAATATAAATCGGTCTAGATGAAAAAAATGTCTGGTTGCTTAACATTGTGGTTTTAATAGAATCTAAAAAATAATTCTATATTTTTCAAGCTTAAAAACCAAAAATTTTGATGGTTTCGCTGTGTGGGTGTGATGGTAGCGTATAAATAATTAACTTCAGTGAATTATTTTTTTTTAATATGAAACTGTAACCAAATACTTGTAGAGTAAACTCAACCATTTGGTGTTTGCTATAACATAGATATTTAAATAGTTAAATGTCTTTGTATTATTAATTATAAGTAGATTAGGATGCAGTAGTTAATCTGTACTACGACTTAACTACGACCACATAATAACAATAGATGGTGTTGTGTTTCTGTTGGTGAGTAAGTTGCCAGGGCTCCACTGGACAGGTAATTGGGTTAGGGTAGGCATTGGCGCGAGTAATATTTTTTGTATCGCAAGCATCCATAGGCCATGGTGGTCTCTTACCATCAGGCGGGCCGTATACTTGTTAACCACCGTTTAAACAAGAAAAACTACTACGCTGGTTTCTCAGATAATATTATATTTATTCAAAATCTGTATCAAAGTCTGCTCTTGAATATAAAAGTACAGTTCTACAAACCTTCAAGCTAAGCTTATTTTCTTGATGCTTTGGCGAACTCAATTAATCTTCATTCACATATTACAGATAGACACTCCTCTTCCAATTTCTAAATTTTCATTTCACGGCATTGCTCATGAAAAATTTTCTTCTTATCACGCAGCCCTTACTTGTTCGTTAAAGATTTTTGCGGGCGACCTAATTCTTTTCGGATGACTCCTAAAACAAGGTTTATGAGAACCTTTTTTTAGATTCACACAGATTATTTTGTTCTTAAAAAAAGAAAGGATATTTAAGTGTTATCAACTAAAACCTATTCTCAAACTAGCGTCTACAAAAATTTCATCTTTTGATTATCTTTAGGGTTCCGTATCTCAAAAGGATAAATCGGAACCCTCATATGATCACTTTCTTGTCCGGTAGTCTATCTGTCAAGATCATTTATCTCGTGAACTCGTGGAGGTGAACATGAGTTAACATTAAAACTTTTAATATATTTTTTATACTCGGGTCTACAATAGTGATGTAACGAATGTAATTTTTTGAACATTCGCGAATGCAAATATTTAGTTTTGTGTTCGAAATTGGCGCCAATTGCATGGTGGCACTCTCGTACGAATTGCCGAGTTGATATGAACTCATCCGGCTGAAGTGTTATTCCGCTCTCGCCAGTCTTTTCGTTAACAAGACAAGTGAATTTTGAGGTTAGAGTTTGAATAGTGATTTATTAACATGAGTAAATCCAATTCTAGTAAAATAAGGACTTATTTCACACTTTCAGATGCTCAACGAGCTAAATGCAAGCTATGTTATAATGAATATTCAATAAAAGGAAGAACTACAACTGCTATGAGAAATCATTTGAAGGCAATGCATAAAACCGAGTTTTCCGATTTTTGTAGTTTTGTCAAAGAAGATGCTAAAAAAGTGATACGGCCGTTTATGTTGCGTACCTACAAATTTGTACAGAACCTTCGGTGGGCGAGTCCGACTTTACACTCTCCGGTTGTCCTTGTATCAAAATTATAAAAATAATAGTACCAACCAAAGGCGGTATACCTACTTATACATATTTCTTAATACATGTAAATAAAAGATTTTTTTTATCTTAAATCAAACGCACATAATATATTTCTGTTATTTACCAAGTGAACTTTACGTTCTGGATCTACCAGACGAATTTATTTTAGTCCCATCAAAGTATTACACAATCGACGCATACACGTGTGCTGTGCACCTACTTGTTGGTGTGCGGTTGTAGGTACGTAATTATAATATGAAATTCTTGCAATGCAGATCATGCGCTTATAAATGCGATTCAACTAAGAATAGGACCGACTGGGCGCCATATTCTGACGTCATAGCTGTCAATTCAATCCAAATAGGTAGAGAGAGCAAAAAAAAAAGTTTTAATTTAATAAAACTAATTTACTAAGATTAAGCGAGAAAATACATCAGATAGATATTTTAATAAAATTTATTTACTAAGATTGAGAAAAAAGAACAACCGATTTTTAATAATATTTATTCATTAAGATTCTGTGAGAAAAAACATTAATCGGAATCTAGCTCTTCAATTCCGCTCATCTCTGCATTACCACCGGAGTAGTTATGAATAATCATGCACTATTACTAGGCCACATACGAACATGCATTCTTTGTGAAAGCAAAAGTTTTAAATATTATGAACGCAACTTAAAGCGACATTTGGTTGACGAATTAGGGTATCAACCATTCATAGCCAAAGCTCAATAAATGAAAAAAAATATCAACCAATATTAATTATCAATATTTGTTATTGTTGTTTACAAATGTTTGCATTTTTATTCTAGAATTAGCTGAGTGCTAAAAAAGGGTTCCAAGATTTATTTTCAAACCGTACTTTTCAAACGACATTTGACAGATGGAGGTCATTGGCTTTCCTATTCTTATTTGAATCGCACTACACTTGCACCGGCGATCGTTCGTGATGATTCTGATGCCTCTAATGGACAGCTACAAATTATCTACTGAATTGAAACAGGAAGAAGAGCCAGGATTATAAATAACTTAACACATAAATACGAGATTACAATAGCAAAATAAGACGATTTTATATTAATGTGATTAATAATATGTCATTTTTAGTGGAAAACCCCCGAAGACCTCTCCTAGAACGTAATGCATTTAATCCACGTATGGTTATCAGTGGATACCTTATTGAACCTATACGAATAGCTCATCCACTGTATTTAACATACATTTCTTATTGCGTTTTATTTAACCAAGGATTGTGGTAAAAATATTACCTCGTCAATTCAAATAAGCTTTATTTTAAAAAAGAAACAATACCAAAACACCAGCACATTTAAATTATATCAAGTAAAAACGTTTAAAGCTCCCGTTCTTTTCCATAAATTCTTCTAATAACATCAGAAATTGTAAAAAAATCCCCAGTGTAAGTCATTCTTGCAAATAGATCCTGTAATCTCTCCTGCTCATTTGAGCAATAAGGCCGCCCATTGTACTAATAAGGGTAGTATATTGTTGGGCGGTATATTCTCTTCGGTTTCTTTTACAATACCTAAATGTTTAAGAAGAAGAAGAGATGAAGTCAATGACATCATGATGTCATTAATGCGTTATGCTTTCACGATGGCTGGGTATCCCAATGGAACAAGACGTAATTATCTCGAGCTCATCTGCGTTATGCTGGAAGGCATAACCACCTGAATCGGTCCTGCCTATATAGGTCGCGGCTAACTTCTTGAGAAAATCACAGACAAATACACTTGCGTTGTAGACGTTTTTGTATGTAATATTGCTACTGCGCAGGCTTCTTTGTCTATGGTCATTGTTCAACAAGTTTGCCGGGATGTATACCTAAAATCATTAGCAATCACTGCACAGGACCCAGTAAGTTAAGGTCCGTTCTCCTTATTTGAATCTGCATATAGGGAAGGCCTGCAATGGAAACTACAATAGGCTGATGGTGAATCACAGAGCACTCCCACTAAAGATCGTATCGATGGCAACTCCTATGTTCCAGGATTATGCTGTGTGATGTATATTATGCTTAAGAGGATGTCTCTCATCAGATGTCGGTGGGGCTGCAGCGGCGCGTGCCGGCGCTCGACGAGGCGGCGGGTGGTGTGCCGGCGGCGTGGAAGAGTGGCAACAGTGAGCCACCGTTCCCGTCGTTCGCGCCGCCGGCAGGCAGCCCCGCGGGGCCGGCATTCGCCGCGTCCCCCGCGCCGGCGACGCCGGGGCCGGGGTTTGCGGGCCCGTACGCGGCGCCGGGCCCGTTCGGCAGCCCTTCAGCGCGGCCCGGCTCGGGCGGCGGGTTCCCACCTGGCCCGCCGCCCCAGCAGGGCCACTTCCCCGGCCCCGGGTTCGCGCCGCCGGGCTCACCGTTCCACCCACACCCGCCACATCCGCCTATGCCGCCGCACCCACACATGATGGCGCCGCTACCACCGCCTGTAGACAGGTACGACTGGGAATACTTTTAATAGATACTTCTTCATTTCAGCAATTTCGAACTTTCTGATCAACCCAAGAAGCTTTTATTTACAAAATGAAGATACTTCCAAAACACTACCTTGCCAACTGCAACCCAAATATTTCCTTTTGATTCAAAATAAATATTTACAAAATCCAAACTTTCCCGCCATTTCCAAAAAACGGATGGACTATAACCGCCTGATACTTGAACAAATACTTTTAAACGTATTTAAGAAAGCCTCTTGTTGTGCCAATGAAGAAATAGACTTTTCTACGAAACTAAAATCGTATATTTCCCAAAGTGCGCAATATTGAGATTCATAATTTAGCGGTTTGGGGGTTATATTACGAGGAACCGGTAATGTGATTTGCTGGTTTTTCATTTATGCATGTATACCATACAATAAAGTTATTTTAATACCAAATATATAATAAAAATATTAAAACTAAATAGACTCATGATATTATAATTGTTAAACATTATTCAAATAACTTTTAAGGCGTTACATTGTTAAGAACGTTTGAAATATACATAAATACTTCTGCCTTATCATATTTTAACGTTGACCAAACAGGAAGTCAGAACATGAAACCACCAACCATCAGTATTTCAAATTAAAATTATTACTGAATGTTTATTTTGTTATTTCTTAAACTTGCCAGTGGATCATTAATTACATATTTTGTTTATTCTGTAATTCAAGCGATTTTTATCCCTCACCGATTTAGGTTCTCGTGGTAGTTTGTATCACGTTATTTTCCTCACAGACATTTTTAAATTTAACAATTTTAGTCAAGGTTCTTCTAAATATATCTATTTGCTACTGAAAGTCTAAAGGGCTAGCCTACTTAACCTTGAAACTAATCTCCTTATTTTCAATTTTATTACTGCTTACTAAATTTTAAAAAGAAATGAAAGGTATAGATCAGGTTCGACTTTGGGCCAAATTATCCCAAAATTTACAAAGTTTACGAACTGATTTTCATGTTTATCTTGCTTGATGTAAGTTTCGAGATCGTTGAGAAAAAAATCTCCATGTATGTACTGTAACTATTTCTTATCATTTCCATATCTTCTGCCAAAAGGGCTTCCTGCCTAATAGTCAGGGCTATGACACTGGAAACTTCCACAGTAAATATCACTTTTATTGCTGAGAAAATAAAGGCATTGTCAACGTCTAATTGCATTAACCATATGTATATGTACATAAATTATCTGAAAGTCTCATAGAATTCTTCCTTTCTACTTCAGATCAGAAGGCACGATATCTATATACGTGATGTGGCTGGCATTACCTACACCTATATTACTAACACTTCTAATTCTACACCTCAACGATGTCACATTTGCCAACTAACAGATTGGAACTAGCTTCCTCCCGTCCCTTAACAATAGTGACGGATTGCTAACAATGCAAACAATGCTATCTACGAGTTACCGAAATTACCTTTTAAGTTAAAATACACCACTTCTTGGTACAACTTTTGCAGCTATTTCAGTCCAATCTTAAACCAGAATCATAAACAGTATATTTTGTTAACTTTAACAAAAGAATAAGGAAGGATGCTAGTTCGAATCCAGCCTGGTCCTATGACAAATTCAATTTATTCAGATATAAATGATCTGTTAGTTAAATCCTTTATAATTATAATTTGGTTCGTTACTTAAAAATATATTGATATTGAGTTAATTTTGTTCAACAAGCCCGTGGCAGTTGCCATCATTAATAATAATTAATAATTGGTGTCGATTCTGGCGTGATTGTCTAAACTTAAAACTAAATTTAACATCAATCTCTCATTTTCATTCCGTATAGAGAATGACAAGGATACACTGTTGTCAAATTTAAGTTTAGGTTTAGAGAATCGTGTCAGAATTGACACCATTGACGCCATACTGTAAATTCAACCTTACTGATCAATATTAATATCATAAATTCGAAACTGTTTCTCCGTTTTTTGCCTTTTCGCGATTAAACTGCTGAATCGATATAAATGAAATTTGGTTTAGAAATATTTTGAGTCCCGGCAAAGGACATAGTGAACTTTTTTCCAGGAATGGAATGGAGATGGAGAGGAGGAATGGTTGGAAGTTTGTTTGCTAATAATTTATATATTTATTCATTTACGGTGCAGGAATCTGTCAGGAATGCTAATTCATGTAAGGCCAATGCGAAGGTCTCAGTTATTACTAATCAATTAATGATTCCGTATTTTGATTAGTTTTGATGTCTTGACGTTCCTGCAAATAGTAATAATCTCAGAAGACTGCGTATATTTCAACCATTTTAAAATTCATGTTGTTTATTATCTCCAGTTCCCGTTCGGTGCTTCGCATCATATTTATATAGATAGATAATACAAAATTTTCAATGTAAAACTTAGAAATATACTCTATAGATTCATACTAGACTAGAATACATAATATTTTCGAGGAAAATGATACTGTGCTGCTACAAAGTCCGCTTTGAGTCGCTGATGAAATTTAGACAGTGATTGACATAAAACGTTATTTAGAATTATATAAATTTGCGGGCCTCACCTCTCCGTCCGTGTGCTTGTAACGGCGATTCTTGTGGAAGGCAACAAATAAAAATAGTGACGGTTCGCGAGTGAACGGCAGGTACAGCAAAATAACTACCCAATGTTGAAAAATACAGCGCTTGATCGAAGATTTGTTTACCTTTTAAATGGTTTTTTTTTATTTGTTTTAAATGGAGGAGGTCTACTAATTCGATATCTAATGCCAATCGTAAATATAAAAAGCTTAGCAATATGAAAATCCATTGTGCGGTTTCGATACTTGAATAAAAAACAAACAAAAAATATTCAAATTTAGCACGGGCACAATACGGCGCTATTCAAAATTCGAACGAGAATGACTCGTCGAAAAAAATGGCCGACTGTAAAAATCGGAATATTATCCTCTTGGAGTAAAATAAAATGCGCCCGAAGCTTGCTCTGTGAGGCGAAGCAAGCTTCAGACGCGGCTGTGTGCGTGCGCTATAAAACTGTCTCTGTGTGTGTACACAAATAAATGTAGGTGAGCTACGTATATATTTTGTGGTACCGTTCGCAGGAGAGTTTAATTGTGAATTATTAGAATTAGATTAATCCCACATTATATTTGTTGCTATATTAAAATTATGTTAAAAATCTTACACTTCTTTCTAAATTTACTGTCAGAAAATGTTGTTTTTCCATATATACAAATTATCAAAAAAAGTGAATATAATACATTCATCATTTTATGGCTATATACGTGTGTGTGGTGTTGTTAAAGCATAAAAGTTACTGTATTTTACGAATAAATTGTTCTTTATCAATGTTATTAATCAAATTACCTATACCTCAAACAAAGTTCTACAAAACAATTCATCGTTAAGGTTACCCCGTAACAACTAATAACAAGCACATTAACACAAGAAACATATTTTTTAAATTAAAAATAGGCATACGTTTTGTTATACCACGTGTGAACATTCCTTGACCGCAAACAAATGATCAGCGCCGAGCGAGAGCACGGAATATTTTTTTTTCTTCTAACGTAACCTGTTTTGTCACTGCGGACAGTACTCGCCCACCCCGGTTACTATCTATCTATACTACGCGTCTATGTATTTGCTGGTACCGCTTCGCCCAGAGAGCGGTGACCCCTCGCGTTTCCCGCGCTCTCAACGTTTGAGAGCCGTCGAAGGATTCAGAGGTGACGTTACGAGGCTCAACTTGCGTTGGTCGCTGTATACGTACATAAGGTAACATAAGTAAAGACTATGTGGAGTGAGACGGCATCCACTCGGTCGCTCGAGTGTCGTCTGCTGAGCGCTCCCCGATCAAAATCATTCAAAATTTCTAAAATAAATTTTGATGATATTGTTGGTAACAATGTATAGCGTGTACGAGTAACGCATTGGTATTTTAATTTTAAACATCAATTGTTAAGTTATTGAATGTACTACTGTTCAAATTGAACTTTGATTATGGTAAAGAGTTACAAATAATTAAGTGCTAATTGTTGACAACTATTATTTTGCTTCCATCGATCAGCGATCAGGTTATTTATTGATGGAATCCGTCATTGAATTACGTTCCCAAACTATTATTTAATATCTTTACTCTTATCTCTTATTATGCACAAAAAATTTGATAAATTAAATTTTATTGAACTCGGAACCTATTAACAAAACACTAAATCAGTAATAATGATAATGGTTACAGCCTTTTCGTCACATAAAACTGTTGATTATCGCAAAGTATCAAAGGTGACATCGTAATACGCTTTTTACGACACATTATAATATCTAAAATACGGATTATTGATTCTTAAAATTTTATCTTACAGCATTGTTCTGTCTGATCCCAAAGTATCCAGTCAAAGTAACTGGTTCTAAGTCAGAAACAAGAACGCACGCGTGCATGAACCATAGCCACTCTATTTTTAGTTATAAAATAGATAAGTAAAATAGTTTTCTATCAACCCGACCGGGATTCAAGCCTAGACCTCATCGTTGGTAACGATGGCATAGCGCACTTGCCACTCTATCAAGATTGCCCGTAAATACGACACAGTGTAACATAAACAAACGCTAAGTAAGTAATCGATTTTTACCCTATTTCGCTAACGAGGAAATGGACTCTTAATCACACTCTAGTATCAAATCGTCTAAATGCACCTTTTTCTAAATTCAAATAATGCCCTTTCGGGCTGTGGAATCGTCATGCAGAGCTAACGCAACCTGTCAAATATCTACAGTAAAATTCGACGTTTTGACCGCGTCAAGTTCGTCGTAACCTATATTTAGGTACCTAGTGGTATATAAGGAGGGGGGCGAGCACGTGGCAGGGGTGGCTCTCACCCTCTCGATCCTCTGCGCGCCTGGTCTGACTGTATTGAGGCCTTTTTATTGTTGTTACTTTATTGAAAAAAAAAGTCATTTTTTTGTATCGGATAATTTTTTGCCTTAATATATTTATTTGTGAGCCATC